GACTCAGATGTGGCAGAGAGGTTGGAATGATCAGATGGGGAGTTTCAAATAACTGTCACTACCGGGCTAAGGGCTCTAATGGACAAAGTGAAAGGGGTGGGAAGCCCTGAAGACAAGGCTGGGGCATAAAATGCAGGCTGGGGCCTTGCGGAGGGGCGCGAGTGCAGGTGGGCGGAAACACACCTGTTCCTGCCTCACGCCTCTCTGGGGAGGCTGTGCTCACCCTTCCCAGCAGGACAACCTCCTCTTCTCTGTCCTCACGTGCTGTTGGAGACTGGCTGGGTCTGGGCCCTTCTAAGCCACTGATCTCTCTCTGGGTTCCTCTCCCAGCAGCCCCAACACTCGGGTTAACAAGGACAACACCAACAACAACACAGCAAGGGCCTACTGGGCTTGCCTCTGTGTAAGGGCAGGATTGAGCTGGAGTCCAGCTTCCCAGAGTTAAAGGCAGGAAAGGGGGCTTGGTGATCACAGCATGACAGAAGCAATGACTTTTTATTGTTTTAGCAGACAGATGTGAGAACACATCATCCTTCCTTTTTCCTTCCTTCCTTCCTTCAATCACCTAGCATTTACCGACAGGCTATGCTGACGTAAGCTGCTCACTCTCTTAGCAGCCGTGATGAGCACTGCCCGTCAATGAAGGCAATATTAGGAAGATGGTGGCGGGGCCCATAAGGGGGTGTAGATGGGTGCTGTGGGGAGACTAGAGGGCTCAGTGGGAAGAGAAGTCAAGTGGGCCTTGGGTAGGGCCACCAAGGGTAGACCTTGCAGGAAGGCCGGTTCTCTCTTCTTGGAGGGGATGCTGGTTTTGCCTTCCCAGACCTCTTGCCCTCCTTTCTGATGTCAGACCTTGCCTCCCCTGACCACAAGTGTAGGTGGCATAAGACAGCTGGCCATTGTTAGTGATGTGGATTCAGGCACAGCGATACCACCAGACATAAGGCAAAGCAATCAGCAGCTATGCTTGCAATTTCTCCTCTCAGATTCTCTCTGATTCAACCTTCTGCTCTGACATTACAACACAGGATTTAATGGACCCCTAATCCTTGAAGTGGGAGCTTTTCAAATCCAGCCCACAAACACTTCTGCATGCCCACCACCCTGCATAAGGCGTGGGCTGCGTCCCTATGCACGAGGTTTTGGTCATCCACAAAAAAGTGACGGGGGCGCTTGACATCACTATCATCTCCATTAGACATAAGAGTTCAGTTTCCATTAGAAGAAAGTTAGTCACAACAAACACGCCCTTGCAAAGGTGTAAGCCCAGACCCTGACACTCAGAATGTCCTCAAAGGGGGGGATGAATGTCAGCACTGCGAGGTGGACCCATAGTGTGGGGCTGGGTGGGGGCTTCAGGTAGAGAGACTACATGGTGAGCCCAGAAAGCAGCTTTGGGTTCAGTGTGCACACGAGCCCACGTAGCAGGTGCAGGAGGCTTCGCTCCATTTATGTGTAAAGTAAGGACACTCCTTGGGCAGGACAGAATCTTTGAGATTTAGCATTTCTGCATTTCTGTTTGCAAACAGGCCTGGGCTGATCTGGATGTTGCTTTACCTGATCCAGGAAAAGACGGTGGCAAAACTGTTGAGAGGAATGAATCAGAAATTGGCAGAATAGATGACACAAAAATCCAAGATCAAAGCTCTGATGCTATCACCCTTTGGATGATCCTCCACGAGAGAGGAATGGAGGACATTACTATGAATGATTTAAGAGATACATGGTTCTGAAATTGACACGGCCTCTTTTGTTCAAACAGAATGAACTTCTCAGGGCCATCGTCCATCACCAGCCCTAACTAGGAACTTCCAAGCTTGGGCACAGGGTCTGTTTGTTGAACGCTGTGTTCGGGCTTTGTTTTGCCATGCCTGTCTGTATGAATGGAGGTCAAGGCTGACCCCGTATGAAGCCTATGCTGTGAAGACATCCAGGAGAGCCTTACCTGGTCTCCCAGGAAGTGACAGGAGTTTAGAATGGAGGAGAAGGCGCTAGTGCGCTTCCTTTTTAGTTTTGAAAAAGGCGTGTGGGCTGGGCATTGGTCTAGAACCTGGTCCCGGGCTGCCCGGGGCTGCTGCTGTGGCCGTCTGACCTCCTATAAGCCGTAGGACTTTCCTAAACCTCAGTGCAATCATCGACCAAAGGGATAGTAACTGTGGCCCTAGCCTATGTCATTGGGTTTTTACCGGAATAGAATAATGCTGGGCTTACTATTTGGTTAGATGGTTGGGGATATTTTTGTCAACAGCTCAGCTTTACTTTTTTCTCACTGGAGTGACCTCACGCTTGCGAATGGCTTTGGAGGTGGTATTCTCGGTAAACCGAACAGGATCTGTAGGACTGAGCCAGTTGTATTTGCACTGTGTTGGCTCCTGGCTGCCTGTGGGGGTGGCTGTGTCTGGCTTCTGCGAGCCCTGCCCTCCTCTCCACCCAGCCTGAGGTCTGAGGCTGTTAAACCACAACAATTAGAGGGCTAGTTTTACGGGGAGGCTCAGATTGTTCACTCACTTCGCCTGGGTAATTACAGTGAAGTGGAAGCTGGCGGTCGGCTCTCGTAAGAGTTTGGATTTCCAGAATCAACCATGGGACTTTCTCCCTGCAGATGTGGACCTTCCTGGAGCCCAGAGGTCCCCCCAGACAACCCAGTACCTCTCGAATGTTCTCTGATCTGTATCTGACACCACCTCCACGTGACTTCACAATACTGGGCTTAACGATGTCATGGTCTGCCCAGGATTTGGAAGATATTTTGATAATCACAAAACACGAACTAGGGTGCTTAGAGTTATAGTCCTCAAAGTGGCCACATCCAAGCTAAAATGCTTTCAGGGATAATGAGAACCACCTCTCCTGATTCTCAGTCTTGCCGTCTCAGGGCAGGGGAGACATTGCCATCACGATTCACATGGGAAGATGTCTCAGGTGCTTTCATCCTTCTCCCAGGGCAATGGTTTTCTGTAGAGGCCTTGATCAGGTAACAGGATATCCTGGTTATTTAATAAATTTCATGGAACTTCCCACCACACATTCCAAAGCAAACCAAAGCCACTAAAACACGAGAAATGATTGTATGCCATAGGAAAGGCGGCTGTCACGAAGTCAAGTCCCAGAGAGGCGATTTCTACCAAGAAGGTAGGAAAAGCACTGGGTTTCTTCTTATCAGGGGGATGAACCCCCCTTACCCCTGCCCTGTCCCTGACACCTGGGCCGTGAATGAGGTGCAGTCATGGCGGGGGCTGAGTCGTAGGAAGGCAGAGAGCTGAGCGGCAGTGTAGGTTCTGACATTTCCCAAAAGGAGAGACTCGGGGATGCAATCTAGTTGGAAGAAATGATTAAGTTTACGTATCATGTTGGCAAATTCTTACTTAGCTTTGATAAAAGAAAATTTTCAGCTGAATTAAATTTAAAGGAGTTTAATTGAGCAATGAATGATTTGCAAATCGGGCAGCCCCCAGAGTCACAGCAGAGACTACCATGCAGCCACGCGGTGGAAGAAGATTTACAGACAAAGAAAGGGAAATGATACACAGAAATTGGAAGTGACGTACAGGACAGCTGGATTGGTTGCAGTATGGTGGTTGCCTTATTTGAACACAGCCTGAAGACTCAGCAGTGTATGAGTGGTTGAAGTACAGCCGCTGGGCTTGGCCAAGACTCAGCCTGTTACAGATACATTCTCCTAGGTTTTCAATCTTGCCTACCTATTAAGCTAGGTTGCAGTTCGTCCACAAGAACTCAAATATAGAAGTATGGAGTCCTGGCTGGGCGCAGTGGCTCATGCCTGTAATCACTTTGGGAGGCCAAGGTGGGTGGATCACCTGAGGTCAGGAGTTCGAGACCAGCTTGGCCAACTTGTGAAACCTCGTCTCTACTAAAAATACAAAAATTAGCTGGGCGTGGTGGTGTGTGCCTGTAATCCCAGCTACCTGGGAGGCTGAGGCAGTAGAATCACTGGAACCTGGGAGGCGGAGGCTGCAGTGAGCCGAGATTGTACCACTGGATTCCAGTCTGGGTAACAGAGCAAGACTCCATCTTAAAAAAAAAAAAAAAGTACAGGCTCCTTCTCAGGCCATATTTAGTTCACAAAACAGCTGTTTTGTTTCAGATTAAATAAATGAGTAAGATGCTTTAATCCACATTTTCATAGGATTGAGAATATCAACTCTTTATCAAACAATGTTATTTTCATCACGTCAAGGGGTGGCTTTGAGGCTGCTGATGGAAATGAAGGCAGGAACTAACATGTCCCCAAGCTTCCTTGGCTGGATAGCTGGAGGTAGCCTCCCACTTCTCTCCTGAAGCTGGCGAATGGCACACCTCAGACAGCTGCCCTTGTGTCTCTCAACCTGTCCCTTTGCAAGGACACGCTGTCAATCACAATCCCTTACTTCCTATGTTTTCTGACCTCCCTCCATACTCCATGAAAGGAGTCTGGATTTTTATCCAAGTTCTATCACTTGACAGCTGTGGGTGACCTTGAACAAGTCACTGATGCTCTCTCAGCCTCAGGTTCCTTATTTATAAAATGGGAATCAGAACACTCCCTACCTAATAGGGTAATGATCAGATTAAATAAGACAATATTCGGAAAGCAGCTGCCACAGCGCCTGGCATATTTAAAATATTCTCACTATTGCTGTCGTCATCATCATCACAGCAGCAGTAGTAGTAGGTATTCGTATGTGTTTTTGCAGCAGAGGCTAGAGTCTCAGAGGGTCTTTAACATGCTCAGAGGTATTAAAGCATTGCCATCTTTGCTGGAGAAAAGGACTGATCTTTTGTGTTTTGTTATCTAGTTAAGTTCAAAAATGCCTACCTGAGATCTGGGGGGGGGTGGGCGGTGCACCCTTTTAAACTCTGAGAAATGCAAATTAATTATGACAGCAAAAAGACTACCATCCTAGTCAGAGTGAGCTAGGCTTATTGTGCTGTAACAAACAACCCTAAAATCTTAGTGCCATAATATGCAACAGCTGATTTCTTGCTCGCTGCAAGCTCATCACAGGTCAGCAGTGGCGGAGTCTGCGCTCTACCCCGTGCAGGGACCCTGGCTCTGCTCTCCGGAAGTTTGCTGGTTGCCATGGGGGAGAAGAGTGAGACTGGGGAATGGCTCAGGGGCGTTTCACTGCCTCAGCCTGGAGGCGCAGGTCAGTTCCGCTTGCATTTCATTGGCCAGTACTGGTCACATGGGCTGAGAATTCCAGGTTCCTATCGCTCCGGGAAGGAGCCTGAAACTGGCCGGCTCTGAGCTCAGTTCATCCTTAGCACATCCGCAAAGGGCACAGCAAAGACTTTAGGCAGCGCCAGAGGCCACGTGGCCAGAGGTTTTGTTTAGAGTAGGAGCTGACAAACATTTTCTTAAGGGGCCAGAGGGTAAATATTTTAGGCTCTGAAGGCCATGTGGTCCCTGACACAACAACTCAACTCTAGAAAGGAGCCTAGGCAATATGTAAACAACCGGACCTGGCTGAGTGCCAGTGAAACCTCATTTGCAGAAACCGGTGGGCCCTGCAGACCCTGGTTTACAGCAGCCCAGAGCATCCCTTAGAAAACCAAAATTGTATTTTTAATAAAAACATCATATTCCAAGTGATATCCCTCAATTTGCCAGATGAATAGGGCTGCTGTGAGTAGATGAGGATAATGTGAGGGGTATTCAAATGACCACAGTTACCATCTCAGTGACAGATGTGAACCCAAAAGTATCGGGGACATGTCTCAGTCAATTTAGAAAGTTTTATTTTGCCAAGGCTAAGGACGTGCCCGTGACACAGCCTCAGGAGGTCCTGAGGACACGTGCCCAAGGTGGTCAGGCACAGCTTGCTTTCATACATTGTAGGGAGACATGAGACATCAATCAATATTTGCAAGATGTACATTGGTTCTGTCTGAAAGGGCCGCCAACTCAAAGTTGGTGGCAGAGGCAGAGTGATTTCCAGGTCATAAGCACATGTAAACATTTTCCAATTGGCAATTGGTCGAAAGAGTTACTATCAATAGAAAGGAATGTCTGAGTTACGATGCAAGGTTGTAGAGACCAAGGTTTCATCATGCAGAGGAAGCCTCAAGGTAGCAGGCTTCAGAAACAAGATATTGTACATGTGTCTTATCAGACTTAAGGTCTGTGTTGATGTTGGGGTGATGAGGCATGTCTGACCCCCGCTTCCCGTCCTGACCTAAACTAGATTTTCAGGTTAACTCTGGAAGGCCCTTGGCCAAGAGGTGGGGTCCATTAAGATAGCTGTGGGGCATTAGAATTTTATTTTTGGTTTATACAATGATGACTGGCTTCTATTCTTGCCCCATAGATTCTTAAAGTACTTCCGTTATTCCAATGACTTTTTTTTTTTTTTTTTTTTTTAGAAAAAGAAGTAAACGATCTCACTGTTTTGGAACTCTGAGTTTCTAATTTGAAACAGCAGAACGGGATATTTAAGAGCAGAGGAGAAAAGTTAGCAACTGCTGAGTCTTCTTTAGCATAATTCATTTAACATATAACCCAGGTAGCCCTTATTTTCACATATTTTAAGTGTTCTAGAAACGCCTTTGGAAGCTTCTTCAAAGAGAAGCCAAACTTAGAAATTCCTTTTCTCTCTCTCTTCTTCCATAAATACCCCAAAGCGGCCACTGCACCAAGTGCTGTTCTAGGCGTGAGGATGTCAGAAGAGAGGCCCAGTGACAAGGTCGATGTTTCCATGGAGGTCACAATTCAGGCAATAAGTGCACAAACAAACAAGTAAACGCAGCACATTTAAATACCAGTGAGTGCAATAGAAAACAACTCAGTGAGAGGGAGGGTGGTGTAAGAGTGGATGGCGTCCATGAGGAAAGCAGCATCTGTTTCTAAATGTGAGGCTGCCAGTGTCCACCTGCAGAAAAGGCCGTCCTTCTGGCTAAGTTGAGCAGAACAGGATTTAATGCAGGGTATTAGGTGCTTTCAGAATCCCTCAGAAGGCTAGGCCTCCGCAGCAGCTCCCCAAATCACACCCCAGTGGGCTGCCGGGAACTGTGCTCACAGCTGCTGTCAGGAAAGTCAGGAACCACTAGCTGGGGTAGTAGCCACCAGCTCAAGAATGTGTGACAGGGCGGGGCACAGTGGTTCACACCTGTAATCCCAGCACTTTAGGAGGCTGAGACAGGCAGATCACGAGGTCAAGAGATCGAGACCATCCTGGCCAACATGGTGAAACCCTGTCTCTATTAAAAACAAAAATTAGCTGGGTGTGGTGGCACACGCCTGTAGTCCCTGCTACTTGGGAGGTTGAGGCAGGAGAATTACTTGAACCTGGGAGGCAGAGGTTGCAGTGAGCCGAGATTGCACCACTATACTCCAGCCTGGTGACAGAGCGAGACTGGCTCAAAAAAAAAAAAAAATGTGTGATAGGCCAGGCACAGCAGCTCATGTCTGTAATCCCAGCACTTTGAGAGGCCAAGGTGGGAGGATAGGAGGATCACTTGAGCCCAGGAGTTTGAGACCAGCCTGGTCAACATAGTGAGACTCCATCTCTCTCCACACACACACACACACACACACACACACGAACGTGTTACAGGCTGGATCCAGGGGTCTGGGAGCAGTCTGCCCGTAACCATGGGAACTGCCTCATGACACTCACAAAATGAAGACTCTCGACACTGTTGTAGGAACCCGCAGTGCTGCCACAGCTGGGCCACCCAAGAGCAACAGCCAAGAAGCAGCAACAGAGCCGCCTGCTTCCACTGACCTCCACCATCCAAACCTCACGCAAGTGCATTGAGTTGGGGGGCCTACTCTTCTAGAGTCCTCGCAGGGGATCAGAAAATACAATGGTAGCTTTCCCAGCATATCAGCTCCCTAGAGCTGCCATAACAGACTGGGTGGCTTAAACAACAGACATTTGGCCTGGTGTGGTGGCTCACACCTGTAATCCCAGCACTATGGGAGGCCGAGGCGGGCGGATCATGAGGTCAAGAGATTGAGACTATCGTGGCCAGTGTGGCGAAACCCCGGCTCTACTAAATATACAAAAAAATTAGCTGCGTGTGGTGGCACATGCCTATAGTCCCAGCTACTCGGAGGCTGAGGCAGGAGAATCGCTTGAACCTGGGAAGCGGAGGTTGCAGTGAGTCGAGATCGCACCGCTGTACTCCAGCCTGGTGACAGAGTGAGACTGCATCTCAAACAACAACCACCACCACCACCACAACAACAAAACAGACATTTTTTGTCTCATCATTCTGGAGGGTGGAAGTACAAGATCAGAGTGTCAGCTGGGTTAGTTTTCCTGAGGCTGTGAAGGAGAATCTCCTCCAGGCCTTTTCCCAGCTTCTGCTGGGTTGCCGGCCATCTATGGTGCTCCTTGGCTTGTAGACACATTGCTCTGATTCCTGCCTTTGTCTTCACAGGGTGTTCTCCCTGTGTTTGTGTCCATGTCTAAGTTTCCCTTTTTTATAAGCACACCAGCATGTTGAATTAAAGCCCACCCTAATGACCTCATCTCAACTAATTACATCTGCAGTGACTCCATGTCCAAATATGGTTTCATTCTAAGGTACTTGATGTTAGGACTTCGGCATGTGAAACCTGGGGAGACATGACATCCAGCTTCCTCAAGGCAGTCGGAAGTGGCCTTGGAGGAGGATAGAATGGCTGGTGATTAAAGTCAACACACTCCACCCCAGGCCAGAAGGGTGGGGCCTGGAGGTGGATTCAGCAGAGGGAACCGCTGGGGCCAGAGGCCTAAAGAAGACCCAGTGTCATAAGAAGAACTGAAGAGAAAACTTTGGGCATAGGGAGGATGAACTAAGCAGATGAGGAGTGAGATGGGGTTGGAGAGGGAGCTAGGGCCATAGGATGAGGGCTGTGAGGCCACTTAAGCCTCGAATTTAACTGCATATGTGCTGGGAAGCCAGTGGGGGCTTCTGAGCTGGAACTGATGGGACTGGGTGTACCTTCTGGGGAGGTCAGTGGCTGCTGCATGGGCCAGGGGCTACAGCGGGCCCAGCAGGAAATGGGAAGGTTGTTCAGGCAGCTGCTGTAGGTGTCCCCAGGAGAGACTATGGTGTCTTGGACCAGGGGGAGCAATAGGGCAGAGAGAGGGGGATGGATCTGGGGCGTTTTGGTGACAGCTGTTTAGACTTGCAGTGGGTAAGCACACAGGCCCACGCAGATATGGTCATTGTTGAAGCTGGGCTGATGGCATCTGCAGACACCCTAGAGCTTTTTAGCTGACCTTTGAATACTGGGATGACACCTACAGTGCAGGTGGGCAGATTTCTGTCTGACTTCTAGTGACCATACTTCTCGAATCCCAGATCAGGGCTCACTCTTGTGAGATGTCTCAGCTTTGTGCTGGCCAATGCAGTGGGAGAGGAAGTAGACAGAGTAATATTCCCAAAGCTGCAAATGTGTCACCTGACACAGCAGAAGGAACTTTGCAGACGTGATTGTGTGAAGGATCTTGAGGCGGGTAGATGGTCTTGGGTGATCTGTGTGGGCCCAGTGTAATCACAGACTTTATGAGGGGAACTTGGGAGCGTCCAAGTCAGAAAAGGTGATGTGACGATGGAAGGTGGAGAAAACTTGGGTTTTGCTGCTGCCTTTAAAGATGGACAAAGGGGCCATGAGCCAAGGAACGTGGGCAGCCTCTGGAAGCTGGAAAGGCAAAGGAACGATTCACCCTTAAAGCCTCCAGAAAGAACCAGCTCTGCCAACACCTTAATTTTAGCCCAGCGAGGCTGATTTTTGAGCTTCCAGCCTCCAGAGCTGTAGGATAGTACCTTTTTTTTTTTTTTTTTTGAGACGGAGCCTTGCTCTGTTGCCCAGGCTGGAGTGCAGTGGTGCGATCTCGGCTCACTGCAACCTCCTCCTCCCAGGTTCAAGTGATTCTTCTGCCTCAGCCTCCTGAGTAGCTGGGACTACAGGCGCGTGTCACCACGCCTGGCTAATTTTTGTGTTTTTATTAGAGATGGGGTTTCACCATGTTGGCCAGGCTGGCCTCTAACTCCTGACTTCGTAATCTGCCCACCTTGGCCTCCCAAAGTTCTGGGATCACAGACATGAGCCACCACGCCCAGCCATGTGTGGTTTTAAGCTGCTAACTTGTAGTGGTTTTCAGGAAACTAATACGGGTAGAGAAAAGGGAGGTAATAGAAGTCAATTCACCAAGAAACAGTAAAATGAATCGAGAGATTTTGCAGGGGCCCATGTGCTTCTTGCATGTGCCAGTCATCTTGGTCAGTGACAGGTGTCAGGGAGAATGGTGGGCAGGTTGGGTTGCGATCTCTGCCTGGAAGAACTTCATTGTGAGTTTCCCAGTGAGAGAGAGACAAAGAACTAAGCCAATCATGCACCACTGGATGATTTATTGTTTTTTTGTTTTTTCTCTCTAGATAAACAGAATATAATTATGGAAGCAGGCATGTGTTAGCCTAAGCTTTTGTTAATCACACCCAAGTTATATTTTCTTCAGCTTGCAAGCTCCGTTGCCACTCCTCATTAGAAAGGAGTACATCTGAGTTGTACTTCTAGGCAGGTAGGCGCAAGGCCTTTATGTCTGAGGTATTGTGTTTCTAGCGAACTCTAATCTGCCTTCCCTGCGTGATGGAGAGCTGGAAATGGAGCGAGAAGGGGAAAGGTGCAAGCCAATGGGGAAAGTTCTTATTGTCACAACAGGAGGAAACATCAGCTTAGACCTGGCTCATTCTTTGGGATAGAATAACACTGGTAATAGTTGAGTTTAAATTTCAGTATAATTGAGTTTCAGCCTAGCTCTGCGTGGTTGGAAAAATGTAATGAAGTTGCTGTGTATAAACTGGTCCATTGAGTTTTACTTTAAAATCTTCTTTAAACATATTTAGCAATTTAAAAATGTATTTGGAACATATCTGTGACCTGTCTGTGTACATTTCAGATTGAATGAAAAGGGTCACCCTTCCTGTCAAAGTTTCAAGATTCCTGGTAAACGCTGACATCCTCACTTTTTTTTTCCCCTCCAGTTGATTTTTTTCTTAGATAAGCCATTCTCTAGTTGAGAAGGAAGACTTTGTTTTGTCTTCATGTGCAGAATCCCTTGGCCTTTGTTTGGCATTGAGTCGGGCTCTCCTCTCTGAGTGACGAGGCTGCGTCCCTCAGAAGACCACGGCCTCGGGCAAATCTGAGCCCACTTAGGCATCAGACAAATGCTGTGGGTTAGGTGTGATTATCAGCATGTAAAGCGCATACAACACTTACTGGTCCTCACCCAAGGTATTTTGAGAGCCACTAATTTGTTTAATATCACTGGAGACTGTTTTAGAGCAAGCATTTCAACAGACTTGAATTTCCTTTGGAAAGAAAGTGGAGTAATACGGTTTTCTGGAGGGATTTATTGTTCTTGTTGAGATATTTGAAGACCCACGTCAGGCCTTATACTCTCCAGGAAGTTCTCCAGGAAGGTAGGACCCCACAATAAAGAGCTGTTGGTCCACAGTGAACCCTGAGCTGGGACTTTCTCCACGACTCACCACCTCACTCTCAGCCTCAAGTTACTCATTAAAGGTCTTCGCTGGCTGTCTGGTTGGGCCACATGCCTTGCTGGTCACTCACATGACATCCTCACTCTCCTATTGCAATTGGAGTGGCTTAAAACAACACCCATGGATCATCTCACAGTTCTGTAGGAGAAACCCGGGCGCGGTGGGCTCAGGGTCTTGCATGTCTGGAATCAAGCTCTCAGAAGGGCTGTGTTCTCTTTTGGAGGCTGTATGCATTTCCCGTGCTGCTGTAACAAAGTGCCACAGCTGGGTGGCTTCAAACAAAGGACATTACTTCTCTCCCAGTTCTGGAGGCTGGAAGTCTGAAGCTAAGGTGTGGGCAGGGCCCTGCTCCCTCTAAAGAAGAGTCCCTTCCTTGCCTCTTCCAGCTTCTGGTGGCTCCAGGCATTGCTTGGTTTGTGGCTGCATCACTGCATTCTCGGCCTTCACATGGCCTTCCCTCTGTGTCTGTGTCTTCTCTGCTCTTATAAGGACGCTTGTCATTGACTTTAGGACCCATTGTGTAATCCAGGGTGATCTCATTTTGAGATCTCAAACTTAGTTACATCTGTCAACTCTCTTTCCAAATAAGGGTCCAAGGGTTAGGACAGGGATGGTCTTTTGGGGGCAACCATTCAACCCACTCCAGC